CGGACCCCTGCGACCGGGTGCCCGCTGCCATGTGTTGCAGCCTCGGGTCACGCTGTGTTACCACCGGAGCTGCAGTAAAGTGGCCCATGCTGTTAGGGCCACCTGATGGCAATGAACATCCAGGGGGCCCCGGTCAGTGATGCAGCACTTTAACAGCGCCACCGGGCCCTCTGTGATGACAGACGCTGGGAGGAAGTGACAGCCCCGGTCACTCCTCCCAGCTATCAGAGAGATCTGGGCAGGAGGAAGAAAAGGGAGTCAGAGTGGGAACTCTGACTCCCATCAGCCTGAGCCACCACTGGACCCCAGGGAAAGTCACCCTCCTGCACCTAAAAAGGTAGGAAATAGGAGTGAGACAAACATTTTGCATGTGTGTGTGTGTTAGTGTGTCTGCATGTATGACTCTGAATGTATGTGTCTCTATATGTGTGTGTGTGTCTGTTTCTCTGTATGTGTGTGTGTGCATGTCTGTATGTGTGTGTCTTTGTGTATCTGTTTGTCTGCATGTGTGTGTGGGGAATGGGGTGGACGTATGAGGGGAGGGGAGATTTAGACGTATGGGGCTGCCCCCCAGGGCAATTTTCGCACCGGGGTCCTGTGGTTTGAAGTTACGCCTCTGCTGGCAGGGTTGACTCAATCATTCATCCTTCCGAAGTAGTTAAAAGGAGTACCATTAAATTGGGCAACAGTAACATCCCCTGGATGTTGGGCAAAAGTCAGGCCAGGACGTACTTGGAAACCAAAGTAATCTGAATTTACCTTTCCTGCTTAAACACTTTGTTATTATATCTTCGACTATATACACATACATCCCTGGTACACTATTTTATAGGATACCTAGCACAATGTAATACTAAGGTTAACTAAAAAAAGCTGGAAAGTAAAACATGTAGGAGATTTTGAACAGAGTAAAGTACAAGTTATCTAGTTTCTACTAAAGCACAAGCTTTAACATTATCACGGTTTTAATGCGGAGTAACTACACTTAAATAACCAACTACTTCAGCATTGCTTACTTTGCTATGTAAGCAGCATTCCTGGGATCGGACATCTCTACCTACTAGCAAAGGTTGACCGTAGTTTGTTGCCAGTGCAACCTTTGAAGATTTGCGCTTACATTGTTATGCATGGTGAGAGCCAGGAATGACATCAATAATGGTCACTTTGCAATTCCATTTAATGATCTCCTAACAAGGCTTAGAAACTCTCAAGGTTACAGAGATCTTGGAATCCAGAGACCCACATACCCACAAAAAAAGACATACAATACAATGAAAGTAAAAACAAATTTGTCCACATTGTCTGGGAGGAAACATATCTCAAATGAAGAAAAGTTCAGGCAAAAGAAAAAATGCTGAGAAATGAAAGGCTGGCAGGAGCTGTCCACATGACGAGTCAGAAAATTGTGAATGAATGAAATTCAACTCAATGTTTCCAGACAAAGCAGAACATGACAAATTATTGGAGTTAACGTTATAATATCAATATGCACAGCACAGAAAGAACACATATAGCAAATCAAAAGTTAAATATTGCAAAAACCTAGAACTTATTCAGGGGTTTTCGTAAAGGTTACTATAACATATTTGAGATTTCTGGTGGAATATGCCTTACTGAGCACTATGGGGAAAGTTCCCCCCTCTCACTTGTTTGTAAAACCTGATCTTCCGCACCCCTCCTCTCATCACTGGGGCCATGTGCAATCCAATGACAGCCTTCTCCTAGAGAAGCCTGTGATTGGACCTTTTCGCTGGCTCAGAGCACATGCACAAGTCCCAGGCTGGCGAGGGAAGGGAGGAGGGAACGTATTTCCTAGATCATCCAGGTTTGCTTTGAAAGGTACATTCTACGCACAACAGATAAGTGTAGTGGTTATGGTGCAATGAGTCTGTGGGTGCTTCCTTGTGTATTTCTCTCAAATCTTTCAGGAGAGGCTACAACCTCCTCCTGCATCAGCAGAATCCATTTTGCTCCACAGGGCTAAGCAGAGTCATGCATCAACAGAACGCGCTCAGCCAATGATTGTGGCCCTGTATTTTGCCATACTTAGCACAGGGGAACATCTGCAGGAGAGGCCAAAAACATGGCTGCAGTGCATGCACCCAGGTAAGGTGTCAAACCATTATTCAACAGTTTGACTATTTATTGTGGTTACAGGGTCTTATCAGGCACCATAAACGCTACTGTGGACTGTTATAGTATTTGGAGTGTTCCTTTAACACATATCAATTTCTTTCTTTTTTTTTTATGAAAATAGTCCCAAGCATGTAGAGATACACACTGTGACAAACTCTCCTTCCCACAAGCTCCTGGAGGAGCTTTCTTGCCAGCCTCTTGCCCACAGACTATGGGCCCTGCAGGGAAACCTGTAAAAGACTAGTTAACTGGCTTGGTTCGTACCCTTTGTCTATTCTGTTCGGGAACCGAACAGGCGCACGAACCATGGACCACCCGGGAGCTTGTTAAGCCTAAATTGACAGTTTGTAACACGTTCCACTGCAGTGTTCTAATTGTTCGTCTGGGTGGCCGCTGTTCACATGAACGACCACAAAGTGGTGGCCATCTTGTTCGCATGAACGCAGGCAGCGGTGTTTGTTCATCAAGTTTATGGAACTGAAATCGGACACAGAAACTCCCAAACACCACTGGACTTCCATCAACGCCTGCGTTCGGTTCTATACGACTATGGATTCCGTTCAGTAGTTTGTTGTTTTTAAACTAGCGAACTTGACCAACCGTTAGCACTGATGTCATGGAACTGTTTGGGGCATAGGACCATGTGCACAGTCGGTCAAAATTGTGACTTCCAGGGAAATTCCGAACCCCTGAACTAATCTGTCCAGATTAAAACATTCCAGCTTGTGCTCCCAGAACTATGTGTCGTCTGTGAGGGGAAAGGACTTATCACTACTCAAGCTTGCTCCAGAGTGGAGGATTCAACGGGGAAAGTCCTTGTAAGGACTAGAGCGCCCAGGACTGAGTGTCGTCCAGTGCCTGGAAGTGGATAGAGCGAGTTCCCCATTCGGCTCCAGGACGGAGTGGTTCCAGGACCCCAGTTAGTCACGGCAGTGTAGTTACTGAGGTTTGTCCCCTGTTTTAGCTAGGAAGCAGTCCTTGACAGAGGTACCCACCCGGGGTACAGGGATCTACGTTACACACACACACTTCTTGAAAATTGCAGGTTTGCAACTATATTGGTCCTTTTATTTACCCCTACTCTGTCCATGTGGAGTTTGTGACTCCACTTCCTCAGTGCCATTCTTGCCTCTCGTGTGTTGCCCTGTCAGTGCTTATTGTGATACCATGGCACATTTCTGACTGCCCATTCTCATATTTTCTCATCTGTCTTTCATTAACATTTCTTTGTCTATTGAGCTCTCCCAACCTTTCCGTTTTCTCACCCAGGATAGGAAATTAAACTATTACACATGACTGCTTAGCATGATGGTAGCAAATGGCTGCGATGATTTAATATCGTTACCTGAACAACGGAACGCTTTCATGTATTCTGTATTCTAAGAAAGCGTGATAAATTCATACACCATTATGTTTGCACAAAGGATAAGGTAAACATGAAGTTGGGGAAATGGCAGAATGTCCTGTTATTCAATAGATTTAAATGAGACTGATTTGTGAATGGACAGAAAAACATGAATGAAAGGAGAACATTCAAAGCTGCATTCATAAACCAGGTCTGGTCAGGACACAGATGGACAGAATGCAACCACATGATCTGCAAACACTGGTACTACTGCATACACGGGGGAATGGGAGGAACCTCCATCAAGAACTAGCATGCTTGATTTATGTACATTTGACTCTTGCATTCTGATAATGATTTATAAAAAATTTTGTTTAAACTTTATAGCTTGTTCTTGATTTTTCTATTACTCCTATTCACAGCAGACAAGTTCCACCTCGGACACCTTGGACAACCCAGAGGACTATGCCAAGAAAAACCTACTGTTTGTGAGCCAAAGGCAGATACATTGAATTCTAATGATGAAACATACGTGTGTGTGCAATTTAAACCTGTTTATTTCAAAGGCATTTGAAAAACCTAGGATGGGGCCAAGGAAATTATGCTCATTTAAGGCCAGAGAGTAACATGTCATGTTCAGGATAAGTCTAGATAATACAGAAATATATATGTTAATACTGCTCCTGGTGACGGAGTTATACCAGTGTCCAATCTAAAGTAAATGGCATTTTAATTTTGCTAATCCCTGTAAAAATCACAAACAAATTTTTCATTTTATATTGATCACATAATTAACACCCTGATCCCTGATTGCCTTTTAATATAAAAGAGAAAAGTACTGCTTGTGAATGTTACTGCTCCCTTTGGTTTCAGAAGGGAACACAAATGAAAAAATAACTTTCTTCTACTTTTATGAAATTATGAGCTCTTCAACTAAAGGATCATTATAGGCAGCCAGACTACTTAATCTCAATGAAGAGGTCAGCATGCATTGGCCCTATCGTTGTCGTCACGCAATGTAAAACGTTGCTGTTTTGTACATACAGCAATGTTTACATTACAGAGCTAAACACACTTTTAGAAGCAGTCTTCTTGACAGCCACTAGAGGGAGCTTCCGCTCCTAAGACTTGGTCAGACTTGGTTCTGTGACGTTCAAAGTCCTTACGCACTGGATGAGGACGTTGAGCATGCTCTAGAGCTGATCATAGGGAAGCACTGGATTCAATGCTACGCTAAGAGAAACATTTGGTTGGAAGAACATGGCACTTGATGCACATGCTTTTCTTGTACTTAATGCTTCTTTATAAGAAGTATTGGATTGGATGAGAAAACCAAGACTAGACAGCCTGCAAGGAGAGGGAGCAGGCACCTGCAAAGAGTGAGTCTCTGAGCTGGACAAAAGGTAAGTAAAATGCTTTTTTACTAAAAGTAGAGGCTCCTGAACCTGAAGAGGGAGTAGACGACTAAAGTGTTAGGAATAACATAACACAGTAAAGGAGTTTAAGCATGCGTGGGATAGGCATAAGGCTATCCTAACTATAAGATAAGGCCAGGGACTAATGAAAGTATTTAGAAAATTGGGCAGACTAGATGGGCCAAATTGTTCTTATCTGCCGTCACATTCTATGTTTCTATAGTGTTCCTTTAAAGGGATTCTATATTGCCAGGAAAACAAACCCTTTTTCCGGGCACTGTAGAATCCTGTAGTGTCCCCCTCCCGCTCAACATCACCCGGCAGGGGAGACCTAATGCACATGCGCAGCAATGGGTGCACTCGCATTAGGATTTCCACACAGGAAAGCATTATTCAATGCTTTCCTATGGGGAAAAATCTGATGCTGCAGGTCCTCATGCAGAGTGTGAGGATGTCCAGTGTCAGATAACGGACCAAAGGTCCGTTTCAATTCCAGAAGTCCTTCTAGTGGCTGGCAGACAGCCACTAGAGGAGGAGTTAACCCTCAGATGTAATTATTGCAGTTTCCCAGAAACGGCAGTAATTAACACTGAAAGGTTAAGGAACATGGGACATTGCACCCAGACCACTTCAATGAGCTGAAGTGGTCAGGTGCCTACAGTGTCCCTTTAATATGTGATACCCATTATGAAAATGTCTACAAGTACCACTTAGTAAAAATATACATGGAGTAACTTCTTAAAGGCTACGGTGTTACATTCTATCCTTAACCTAGTGATCGTGGGTATAGAGTGGTTATATTTTAAAAAGAGAATTGTGACAATATTTTCCTAGAAACTGCTCTATTTTTACAGGTTTGCCGGTGTATAATTAGAATTGTAATAAATATGTGCTGGAAATATCTTTTGACATTCCATTTTAATATTTAGCACTGGAGACTTATGTTCATAACCAAACATTGTACAGCCTATTCACTAAACCGTTAATTACCAAGCGTGAAGAACAGCCATCTCAATGCTCTGCAATTCACTTTTCCTTGAACAGACCCCTTCTACGTTTCAGAGAAATCCTCAGTAATAAGGTAATTATGATTTATTTATCTACACTTTATCGCTTTCCTTGATGACATCACCAGAGTTGCTTTTTTTCTGATAAGAATGCATGTGAAAGCCATTGTAAGGAAGTTTTAAAAATATTTAGTCTTCTGCAAAACGTGGGTGACAAAACTATTCAGTGTGGCTCCAAGTTACATTTTAAAGTAATTTTGAACAATTCCCAATCTCTGCCCATAGGAGACAATGTGTCAGCATGTTGTGGGCCAATATCTGTTTTATCTTGTTGAGCACATTGTGAGTGAGTAATGTAAATATAATGCATTTAAAATAAAAAAAAATGTCTTCACTTTACAAGTCTGGAAAAGCATGAACATCTACTCACATCACTTGTCCGCTTTGGTTTAGTAAATAATCCCACAAGAAAATTATAAAATTGTTGGTGAGTGAATGGAAATTTATATGTATTGGGTGTGGGTGATTATACTTCATAAATTGGATTACTCACTAAACTGGAAATTGAGAATTACAGGAGAATAGGAAATTTTAGGCTAAAAGAAAAGCCAACTACAAAAATATCCGTTTTGGCCAATATTTCTCTAGATTTCACAGTTTAATTAATAGCTAAACAAACACATAACATAGACATACCGCCAGATAGAAAATGCCAAGTACTGCCCTGTGGTCTGAATTAAAAATCAAGTAATCTATCAATGCGTCATATGATTTCTACATACATCAGGACAGAACATTCAACTTTAAAAGGACCACTATAGTGCTAGTAAAACATACTCGTTTTCCTGGCACTATAGTGCCCTGAGGGTGCCCCCACCCTCAGGGACCCCCTCCCGCCAGGCTGGATGGCGAGGAAAGGGTTAAATCTTACCTTTTTTCCAGCGCCGGGTGGGAAGCTCTCCTCCTCCTCCTCCTCTCCTCCTCCTCTTCGGCTGAATGCGCATGTCCTATGGACGCTAGCGTCTTCTCACTGTGATTTTCACAGTGAGAAGCATGCAAACGCCTCTAGCGGCTGTCAATGAGACAGCCACTAGAGGCTGGATTAATCCATTTATAAACATAGCAGTTTGTCTGAAACTGATATGTTTATAAAAAAAAAAAAAAAAGCTGAAGTGGTCTGGGTGCCTAGAGTGGTCCTTTAAGAAGCTTGTTTATCCAGGAAAACATGATGAACCTGGCCTTCCAAACCAAGGCAGTGATGGCTATCCTCCCAGCTGCAGGAGTTCGCCCCATTTTTATTCACACAAGAATTTATTAAGCTGTTCATTAATCTGATCATTATGGGAAATGAACCGAGGGGTATGTCCTGTACAGAGGCCATCAAAAACATGCCCATTCGTTGAAATGTCCATCAGAGTGACTGTGATTGTGTTAGTTGTAAACTGCACTGCCTATATAATTAATTTATATTATATTCAAGTACATAATGAGTAAGTGTGGTTTATGTTGGTTTATGTTTTTTTTTAATGTACTTTATTATAGAACTATCCACATGAAGAAAAGCAGGGTTATTCACCAAAATGAGAATTCATAGCGAATTTCATATTTAAGGCCAGACTAGCTGAACTGAGCATTGCTGACAGAGACTTTTTGCAGTTCGGTTATTTTAAACTTAAAGGGGCCATTATAGTCACCATAACCACTACAACTTAATGTAGTAGTTGTCGTGTCTATAACATGTCTCTATGGGTTCTTTAATGTAAACAATGCCTTTTTGCTGCCTAATAACACCTCTAGTGGCAGTCACTCGGACGACCACTAGATGTGCTTCCTAGTCCTACGTTCAGCATCTCCCTGGTCGGCGTGGAGACGCTAAATGATCCCCTGAGAGATACATTGATTTTATTCAACTCTATGAGGAGAAGCCAATTGGCACAGAGCGGTGTTTTGATGCACATGCACAATAACCTCCTAGGATGATCTCAGCCATGGAGATGGGGTTAGTCACAAAAAGACCTGTGCATCGATGAAAAAAAAAAAAAAAAATGTAAACTCACCTTTTAACTTTTCAGAGAAGGGGGCCGGTCACTTAAACATCTTTTCCAGCACTATAGTGTCAGGAATGCATGGTTTTATTCCTGACACTATAGTGTTCCTTTAAATTTGAAATTCAGTTCTCGCTTTAGTGAACAACCCTATAGGAGTTGCATTACAAATTATTTTTATAATTTTTGTTGTATAGAGAAAAATGCATATAACCATTTTATATTGCATTAAACTATTTACTAAGCAAACATCTTACTACACATTGGAATCCTGTAACCCTATATATTCCATCAGCCACTAAACTAAGACCTGTAGCCATTTAAAATAAAATTGGTCAAATGTTAAATAAAATAGCCAAAGCAGGAATAAAGCAGGATGGTAATTTTCCAGATCACCTATTGTATCTATAATGTTAACCTTTAGGATTTCAATTTACTACAATTCTGAGTTTGCTAAATATAGATCACATCATCATGTTAAAAATAATGCTCTCAGGCAACTGCACCCCATGTTTGTATTTAAAAGTACCTCCACATGCCTTACATGCAGCTCTATTCACTAAGCTACATTTTTTTTTTTTGGTAAATTAAATCTTAATTGTATAATTCAGTCCAAATACCCAAGCTGTGTCTACAGGTGAGTTGGACTTTTTTTTTCCCAGAGCAACTACTTTTGCCTCCTTATGCAAAAACAACATCCAGGGATATCATTTCTAATTAGTGGGGTAATAGCTGCTTGATCCAAGGAAATATCTGACTGCTATTTTGGGGTCAAGAATTAATTCTTTCCTAGTTTGTTGCAAACTTGGAAGGCTTCAGACTGGGCTTTTTTGCCTTCTTTTGGATCAACAGCAAAAGCATATGTGAGGAAGGCTGAACTTGATGGACTCGAGTCTCTTTTCAGCTTTGTAAATATGTAACTAAACTTTCCAATTGAGATTTAATTAGATAAAATTCGCTGTTTAGTGAATAACTCTGGGGGATATTTTTTTTAAATTTAACAAATACATCTGCTCCCTGAACATACAGACAGCTTTAAAAAAAAAACCCACACAGGATTTATAACTGTTCCTAACCCTTAAGCAACAGCATTCATCTCCACCTGCATGTGTCAGAATACACCAAGAGTACATCAAACAGTCACATATACCTGGTGGGCATTACTGCAGGTTAACTGAAAGGAGCCTTCAGATCCAGGGGGCCCCATGTATCAGTTCACATGTGCCCAGGTAATAAAGGAAAGAAAAAGTAGCAACATTTTCTACAATATTGATATTCTATTAGCCTTGAGCGCCTCAACAAAAAGGTAAAATATTTCTATGCAATCAGAAACATAATGCAGCAGTTAACCCTTAATATGCTGGAAGATCAGCCTGTCCTGGCACATCAATGGTAAATTCTCCAAAATCTGCTCAATCCCCAACTTTAATAGTGAGCCCATAGCATCACGTGTTCTATAGAAATACACACACACACAATGTGTGAAGTGCTCTGCAGGGATGGAATGATGACATTGTTTTAGAACACTGGGTTATACATTGTTACAAGGCTCACACACACTGTATAGGATGCAGTCAGACACGCCATGTGCATTACCTGTATAGGAAGATCCAGGCTGCTAAGTCCACAGGTCCCAATACTTTCTCCCAGACTTTTAAATACCCTCCAGGTCCCAGGCTGACTGCAAGACAAGTTAGTTTCTCCCAGTGGCAAAATGGCAAAGGAAAAAAAAAGGAGAAATCCCCCCCAAAGGAGGAGATCTGTGATAAAGCGAAAAGTGCATGCAGGTTTACTCTAGTTCCCTGGCAACTCCACGCTGTGGGAAAGAAGGAAGCTCCCCTCTCTCTCTCTCTCTCTGTGAAGCCCTGTCCCATCAGAGTTTCACTCTTTGCTATAGTTGGGAAGTGCACTGTCAAAGGCACAGGGAAGCCCAAAGGAAAGACGTGCTCTCTGCTGCCATCTGGTGGTCGAATGAGGTGACATGTAAAGTTACACAGGGCTATTTGCTAAAAAGTGTGAATTTAAAGTATATTTTAAAAAAAAGTTTTATGTTTTTTTTTTAATTTGACAATTTTTATTTTCACAGATAATGAAAACCATGAGGGGGTACAGAAGAGAAAGGGGATATGGGGACACATTGTTTTGTACATTAGAATTATAATTGTGGCATTCCACAGTTGTTTTGACAAAGTTTCAATTGGATACAAGTCAATTGTTCATAATATACACTACTATTTGATACATAACCACAGTGTGCGATATTAAGATCACGTTTATATCACCCTTCCTCCACGTCTCCCTCGTAATTTTGTAGGAGTCATCCTTCAACCGTAAACCTTAAACTTG